TAAAGTGCTTCCTGGGTCTTGCTCTTGTCTACTACTTCATAAATATTAACTCATTTCATATTAATAATAATCTTATTAGGTGCTATTGTTATTCCCATATGGCAGATGAAGAAATGGTTGTACAGATGGGTTATTTATTTATCATTGCCCATAGTCACACAGCTAGGAGCTGGTGGAGCCGGCTCACACCTGGGGCATCAGGCCAGTCCATGCTCCTAACCACTACACTAATACATAGAAGACATGAATAAATAAAAGGAATCACCCATATTGTTTACTGTTCTTTCATCCTCATGCAGCCTTTAGTCATTGTTGCTTTGTCTATTTTCTTACATTTAAAACAACAGTAATTTGTCTCTGAGCATCTCTTTATCACTGTTAGGAATAGCAATATGTATGGAAAGTTTTAGTTAAGAGCTATTTAGAGGAACAAGTGTTTAAAATTTGTGTCAATGCAGTGCTGTCCAGAGTAGCTATCTCTGTAACAATAACACTGTTCTTGTTTGTTTGAACTTTCCAGGCTCCATATAATTAATTTAAACATGAGAGAGCATGCGTGCTTTTTTTTTTTTTTTTTTTTTTTTTAAGAAAACTACTGCTTACCTTCCTCGAAGAGCACATGTAGTTTCAAAGGCTCTCACTCCCTTCCTAGGAATGAGCTGCCGTAGCCAGGAAGCACAGGAGGCTTGGATTAAAGCTTAAGGAAATTCCCAAGAGGATGTTTTTAAAGGGCATAGACCTAGGTAGGAAACAAAATATAGGCTTATTTCAATGGAAATAATTCTCCATTTAATTTTCTCCCAATGGTCTTCTAGGTCCAAGAGAGATAAGATCGTATTCACGGAAAATTGATGGATAAACAATGATTTCTTTAAAAAAAATCTGAAAACCCATGTCCGATCTCCAGTGTATATTTACTGGATGATCTAAATTTGGCACTTACATCTTTCACATCACTTTCTCTCTCTGTAAATGCATGCAGCTATTCCTGTTCCCTCCCACACATTGATGCTTCAAGGATAAATGAGATCATGTTTATAGTTCAGTGAGGAAAGATACTAGGTATCCTAAAAATATCACTATTGCAAAGTTCTTCCTTTCCTTGGAAATGTATAGTAATACCACATGTATACAGTGTTGTTGAAGAATCAAATTTTTCCATAGTAGTGATTGTTTTTTTTCAGAAAATAGATATTTATCCCATTCAGGACTAACAGTTTCTTTTTAAATTTTTAGCCATTTTTCCAATTTTCCAATTTGAACTTGTTGATTTTTTCTTTAAATTAATTAATTAATTCTATAATTAATATTTGTTGAATGCTTACTACCTGCAATGTAGGTAATTAATAGAACTCTTTCCTTCTGATTAAACAAAATGTATTTTATCTTTTATCAATGACCCTTCATCCATATAATTTGCTTCAAGGACAATATCAGCCAACACCACAAAGCAGCTAATGCATTTTTAAGCTACAGAAATATAAGCCCTAGACCTAAATTAAGGGAACTACTAGTTCTTATTCTACACCAATCCAGATAAACCTGGACTTGAGTCCTGGATGCACAGTATAAGAACAACACTGATAAACTGTAGTATATCTGAAAGGGGGTGACTAAGATGGTGGAAGCTGTGGAAATCAAGCCATATGGACAATTAAACGAGCACTTGCAGAAGAGAATAGTTAAGTGGAGCAATAAAATGTGACTTCAAATCTCTGAATACCTATCAGAAAAGAAATTGGACCTACTCTGCATAGTCACAGAAAAGTAAACTATAAACATAGGTAGAATTTTAAGAAGAGAGATGTCACAGTTAAATAAAACTCTACCAAAAATGAAAAGGGCTGCCTTTAAGGCTTTTGTTTACTGAGATTTCTAGAACAGAAACTGGATGACTATTGGACAGAGATTTTTGTGGAGAGGTTTCTTATGGGGTGAGAAGTTGGGCTCAAAGATCCCTAAGGTCCCCTCTGATGCTGAATATCCTATATTCCATTAGGAACCTCACTCACTGTGATAAGTTATAACAGAGTGACACTTTTCAGCCTTTTGGTGCTTTGCCTCTGCACTAAAAGGCCTCACTCAGACTGCTGTGTGGTTTTTTGTCCTTATGGCTACTTTTTATAGTTCTGTCGTTCCTTGTTTTAATGTCATCCCACTTCATTCTAATTTGTTACTTCTAATATGTTGTGGTCTAGGAAAACAGCTAATAACCAAACTTATTAACATTGCATGAATAATTTAAATGAACGTCTGAAGAGCTCTCCCATGAATAAGGTCTTTGGTACATGGACTTTTTGCCATCTGTTTTAGTTCTTAAAGGTCCCTTTAGCTTTCTTCCAAGTTCTTGGGGGTGTTCTAGATTTAATTTGTCAAGTATGTGGCTTCTGGAACCTTGTTATTGAAATTCCATAAGTTTGCTAAGCTTCCTACTAATTTATAAAATTAAAAAAGAAAATTCTGAATCCATTACTGAATTTTTCCAAAAATAATCATAGGCAGTGATATACTCATCACTGAGCAAGATTTTCCTTATGTAGATAAACTTCCCCCGGACAGCTTCTTCAGAATGGAAGTCGAATTTATAACTAGACTATATAACCAAATGAAATTGATTAGAATGCTAACTACTTTTATCTCCTGAGCTGCTTCATATGGAAAGTATTGGTGTAAAGGCACAGATTCCTTTAGAATATGGGGAATCATTCTGATTTTATTGGTTTTCTTCTTAATCTTGTACTTATATATAGCAATAGTTCAAACATAACTCAAAAATATTTAATGAAAACTTATATAGCTAGCAGGTGCTCTCAGTTAAGAATAATGAAGAATATAAGATAAACATCTTATATTCAGTCGGTTAAAGCGGACGCCTTCGTCTCAGGTCACGATCCCAGGGCCCTGGGATGGAGCCCCGCCTGTGTCGGGCTTCTTCCTCGGTGGGGAGCCTGCTTCTCCCTCTCCCTCTGCCTGCTGCTTCCCCAAGTTGTGTTCTCTCTCTCTTTCTGTCAAATAAATAAAGAAATAAAATCTTTAAAAAACAGAAAAACATAATAATGTTTTATATAAACTAAGTATGAAAGACTACTTTGCCATTAAGGAACTTAATGTCTTGTTAAACAACGAGTTATAGAGCAATCAAGGAAGTATCTTATCCAGGCAGGACTGGCACAGATAGTAAATGTTTTTGAAATCTGTAATGAGAAATGGAGTAGTTCTGCCTCAATACAGCAGACTCAGAGGTTAATAATAAATGTGCTCTTTCTTTAATTCGCGTTGGCCATTAGGTTAATATCGGTGCCATGAGACTTTGGCTATTATAATTTCCTATCATTTATTTGGTAAAAAGAATAATTTGGAGAGGTGTTTCAGTGACTTGATGGGAGCATATCCATAAGATATGAAGAAAACCCCAACACTGCCAATATTTGAAAACTCAAAGGGTTTATTTCCTAAAGTGTTATACAAACTGCTGTCCCGTAACTTTTGCCGCTCCCCAGTATTGGCCAGAGGAATAATTTTAATATCTTCCAAACGGATGAAGCGGACTTCATCCCAGTTCTTCTTGGGAGATACAAACTTCTTATATATCCCCAGGTGAGTCATGAAAAATGTGTACTTGACACCCTAAACTCTGAATTGCCATCATCAGTAACACAACTGAATGGTATCTGTAATGTAGTTAATTTTCTGGGAAATATTCAAAGGCACAAAATGAACATGGCAATAAACACGGTTTTCTATTTAACTTTTGCCTATCCTCCTGGATGTGTGCTTAGAATTATATTTTCATAGAACTTGCAGATGTCCCAGACTCAAGTGCTATTTAATCTCCTTCCATAAGCAGAAGTCCTCAGCAATCCTATCCACAATTAGCTGCTTCTGGTTGCTATTAAATTGCCCCCCACAACTTATTTCACAACATTATTATTTCAGAGCACAACACATTCTGTATGGAGTGAGAGTGCTTGGAAAGACCAATTTCTCTTTGTCATGCCCCTGCCTCTAGACAAGAATGTTTTACACTGCCCATTAGCCAATCCTGTGACCCTTTTCTTTTAGCACCTTGAGTTTGAATTAGGGAATACCTTTTACATCAAAATGGATACACCTGGGATAAAGTAAGCATTGAGTGTTTAGCCCGGATGCCCTCCCCCGCACCCCTCCCCCCACCAAAGCAGCAGAGAAGCTGCGAAGGCCACTTAGCAGTTCGTGCGCTTTCCAAAGCCCACGACCCGGAGCTGGGTTGGGGGGTTCCTTTCCTGGACCGTGAGACTCCGGGAGAAGGGGTGGCGGAGATGGGGAGTGGAGGGGAGGGTTTGTTTTGCTGGGGGATGTGGGAAGTAGGCGCTAGCCTGTTTCGCGGTTTTTTAAGCCCCTTGGCATGCCCTGACCTGATCAAGAGGGAGTCAACTGCTCTCTGGAATGTTTCGGGAGAAGGTGGGAGACTGCTTCCCAGAAGAGGCCTGTGGGTGCTGGAGGGCACCAGGGGGGTCACGCAGGGAGATGCAGGGCAAGCGCCGGGAGGGGCACGAGGGAAGCTGGGGGCCGACGTGACCCGTACCCGCGGGGGCTAAGGCGGGCAGAACGAGCTGGTAGCTAGGCTTCGGGGGCGGCCCGTGGGGCCAGGAGACCCCTCCCCGGGCGCGGCGGCGGCGGCGGCGGCGGCGGCGGCGGCTACCCGGCTGCGCAGGCTGCACCGCCCCGGCTGTCAAGCGAGCGCGGGGGGCGGGCAGGAGGAAGGGGTGGAGGTGCAAGGGGAGGAGGGCTGGCACCGGAGCGCCGCGGTGTCGGTGCAATAAAAATGCATCCCATGGAACTGCCCATGGAGAAGGACGGGACCGAGACGCGGCAGCGAGAGGAGGTGGTAAAAGCGGAGGAGGACGCCCAGGAGGCAGCGGCGGCGGCGGCGGCGGCGGCCGGGAAGTGAAAGGTCTCGCAAAGTTCAGCGGCTGCTGCGGGCGCCGAGCCCCGGGCTAGCGGCGGAGGAGCCCGCGGGACGCTCCGCAGGGGCTGCGCGGCCAGGCCGGCTATGGTCCGGGGGCTCCCGTCGCCCCCGAGGTGCCCGGGCCCCTCCAGGCCGGTGCGCGAGGGTCACCCCACCGCCCGGCGCGGCCCCGGCCCGCGGCTCCCGGCAGCCGGCGCCCGCTGACCGAGCCTGGCGCCCCAGGAGGGGGAAGAAATAAAGAGCCCCAGTTCTTCCTGAGGACTGTTGGCGCTTCATCCCACAACCGAGAGGGCTCAGCTCCCTCGCGCACCCGCCCGGCCCGGGTCCTCCCGGCTCGTCCCGGCCATGGGGAGCTGCGCGCGGCTGCTGCTGCTATGGGGCTGCTCGGCGGTGGCCGCAGGTGGGTGGTGACGCTGCTGGGCCCCCACCCCCTTTCCCTCGCTCTTTCTGTTCCCCACCTCGGGACTCGGGGGTGCAGGGGAGAGCGGGCTGGGAGCGCCAAGCTCAGCTCCCGAGGATGAAATGAGTGGCCATGTTCCGCCTCTTTCCCCCGGGTCTCTGCCGTTTAAAATACTATTGATTTTTTTGCAACTGCGATACACATGCCCTTGGATAACCCGATATCCTGGGTGCGTCCTGCCGGAGATACCACGACCTTGGTTTCTTTCTCGGTTTGGGCTTGTAAAAAACTGCCTTTCCACTTTGTGAGGGAACAAAGGACCAAGCTCGCCATCCCCCGGCACTTCATGGCCTGAGGAATGATGGGGAGGGATGGCCCAGCGACCCTGGGCGCGCGTGGGCCGCGGAAGCTCTCTCGTGGAGAGCGATCGCCCTAGTCCCCGACCTCCTACTGGGCACGAAGGAACCAGGTAGGGACACCTGGGCGGGGTGTGTGCCCTTTCACCGCGGCAGTGGCTGGAATGCAGTGAGACCCCGGGCTGGGACGATAGGTGATCACCCTGGGTTGCACGAGCTGGCTGGCCGCCCCTAGGGAATTGGTACCCTGGCTGAGGCTCCGTGGGAGGTCGGAGGCGGGTCTGCTCCCTGTCTCGGTAACTGGACGACCGGCAGAGGCGTCGTCAGAGGCTCTCTCCCTCCTACTCCCAGCCCGGCTTTCCTGGGCTGTCCTTGGCCGTTCCTAGCGCGCCGTTTCTTTAAAATTGGGAGCCCCCCTTCTGTTCCTCTCCCTCCCCCTTGCGGGTCACCTGGTTTCCAGTTAGGGGTAAGTGCAGCTCAGGGTGTGAAGGGGAAAGAAAGTGAGGGACTCTTCAGCCATCCAATCTCTCAAACGTTTCTCGTTTGCTCTAGAAAGGGGAGTGTGGGCTGGAGGGACGGACTGGTGGACAGAGAGCACTGGCGCACTGTACCTTCCCTTCGGCTTCTTCCACTCTGCCCTCAGGGACGCTGGCACACAGTAAAGCAAAGTTTTAGAATCTTCACCCCAAATCGGGCAGACTCAGGAGCATCCTTGCTATATTTGGATAGTTACTTCTTTAGGGATCTTCAAGTATTTTGTCCACCAATTTATCTGGCTCCACAATCTTTTCTGTACTTATTACTTCGGAGGCATTTAAAATGATTCAGTACTTTCCCCCAAGGAGCCATTAGAGGGCTAAGATTTTACCTTAATTCTTCTTAAGGATGCACCCCTGCCTGCATTTATGCATGCTCCCCAACCACAGAGTGAACTTTATTAAACCTTTCCCTTTTCAAACCATGTTATGGCAAAAACATGCAAGCAATCAAGAGGTTGTAAATAAATATCACAAGGCAACTGTTTCAAGTCAAAAATACTTGTACGGGCAGTATATGATTTTCCCCGAAATGCTTTGCAGGTGAGTCATAGCAGATTGTGTGTTTGGGTGATCCTGGCCACAAGCAACTGTTGCTCCAGCTAATCAGAACAGTGGCAAACAGGAGTCCAGGCATAATGCACATCTGAAATTGACATTTAAAAAAATATATGCCTAAGGAAGCCCTTTCTTTTGGTTGCAGAGGCTATGTGGGGCTGGTGATTGTCAGTCAGCATGGGAAATGTTTCTGTTCTAGTCTAAGCTGTCATTTGGGCTTCTCCAATAGCACGGTGATAACAGTTCAGAGGTGCTCTCCCTTAAGAAGCAGAAACGTTCAATTAGCCAGAATTTGGGGTTTGACTTCCTTTTCCTTCTTTCTTTCTCTGTTTTAACTTTTACAATAGATGATTTTGCTTAAGGTATTCATAATTAACATGACAAACCCAAATTAAAGGATTAAAATACGTAGTCAGGATGTTAATAAGTGGATAATGTTTATCATTTTAAGCAATTTTGAAACCTTAAAGTGTGTTGGACCTTTGTTTGGGTGGAAGCACATGTTTCTTTAAGAAGGTGTTTTAGTTCACAGATAATGTTTAAAGGTGCTCTTAGTGGCTGCCAGACTGTAAACATTATCCTGTTAAGCAAACAGGCAACTACTATATAATCTGTCATAGGTAGAAGCACTCAAGAGGCAGAGAGCATGTCAAATAAGCTTTTCTGCCATTTGGCAGTTTAGAGAGTTTTTTTCTTAGTTATATTTACTCAGTATTAAAAATAGATATTATGCCTCTGAGCTCCAGTGGTGTCTAGTTTTGCCTCCCTAAGTGAGATTCCACTGTATATTGATTAAATATCTCGTATTGCTTTTCCTAGGGAATTTGTCCCTTCACATTTTCGGATGAAAAATATAGAATAAAACATTTCCTCCTTGATGCATTCTAATAAGCACTTTAGATAATGCTAAGGACTCAAATTATATTTGAAAGACTAAATTGGGTGATCTTAAAAACATTATTGTTTTGGGGGATTATTTAAGTCATGACTTCAAAACAAACGTGTATATTTCAAATATAGGGAATGTTTAGAAAGCAAAGTACTTAAAAGGTTTAGGCCCATTATCTCTCCCCCAGTGTTTCCATTTTCCTTCCTCTCACCCTTTATCTGAAGTGATTTTTCTCCCTTTATGTGAATTGTGTATCTGGACATGAAATGCATGCACACACGCATGCATGCTCACACACTGGTATAGACAAATGCACTATAAATGCAGAACGGTATTCGTGCTCAAATTTGATAGAATGTCCTCTTTAGTGGAAGTCTTAAGCTCTTTGGGGATAACCTGACTGTTGAAGACAGAAGAGCTTTCCAGATGTGTTTGTCTTGAATAACATAGGCTTTCCCTTTCCCAGGACTGAGTGGAGTAGTTGGAGTGAGTTCCCGCTGTGAAAAAGCCTGCAACCCTCGGATGGGGAACTTGGCTTTAGGGAGAAAACTCTGGGCAGACACCACCTGTGGTCAGAACGCCACCGAACTGTACTGCTCCTATAGTGAGAATGCTGATCTGACTTGTCGGCAGCCCAAATGTGACAAATGCCATGCTGCCCAGCCTCACCTGGCTCACCTGCCTGCCGCCATGGCGGACTCATCCTTCAGGTTTCCTCGCACGTGGTGGCAGTCTGCTGAGGATGTGCACAGAGAAAAGATCCAGTTAGACCTGGAAGCTGAATTCTACTTCACTCATCTAATTATGGTGTTCAAGTCCCCCAGGCCAGCAGCCATGGTGCTGGACCGGTCCCAGGACTTTGGGAAGACATGGAAGCCTTACAAGTACTTTGCAACTAACTGCTCAGCTACGTTTGGCCTGGAAGATGATGTCATCAAGAAGGGAGCTATTTGCACTTCGAGATACTCCAATCCTTTTCCATGCACTGGAGGAGAGGTAAGAGCCCACGTTTAACTCTATGCTATAAGTAAGGTAGAAAAATGTTACCAGCCCACATTTTTTTTAAAGCATGAAGGTGTACTTGTAGCAACATGAATGAAATTAGAATTTTTCATGAGCTTTATTTGTCATAAATTATTTCTCACCCTTAGATATGGATGTGTAGTCATTTTCAAGCAGGTTGTCCACTGGCTGGGTTTGCGCTGGAATTCTAAGGTTTTAATTTTCTTAATTTTAAGGAAGAGTAGACACATGGCATCATCACTATCCTCAAGGTTTAAAGGCTAATGATTTCTTCAGTTAGCGGGACTACTTACTGTAATTCTGAAGGAACAAGAGTTACCAAGACAGCCTGTTCCTGGAGTCCATGCGTGCTGGGTATCTTCCTGAAACTGTTAACATAAATAGGAAGTAAATAAAACTAAAGCCAAGGGAGAAAAAAAATCTGTTTGTCAGAAGGATACTTTTGTATAACAGTGGAGTTTTATTGTTAAGATTACAAGAATGCATTGCAAACAAATGGAGGGTACTGTGTTTTAAGATACAAAAGTTCTTTTTGGACTCACAGTTGCAGTTTAGGGACTTCTGTCTACCCTGGGCCCAAAACCATCTCAACCTCATTTTGCAAAACAGCCTTCTTAGTTACTAGTCCAATTCCTGTATGGAATGTTTTCTCTTCGTTTCATATTTCCCCTTCCCTAAAGGGAAAACAGGTCTTTTTAACTTATATGGATATACCTAGAAAGTCCCCCCCCACCCCCGCCTAGCATTATGAAAACATTTAGAGAAAACTAAATTAAGTGAAATCAGATTAAGAGAATAAAATACCATCATGTAGATCAAGAAATATGGATTCAGATGTGTGCCTGGCTGGCTCAGTCGGTAGAACTGACTCAGAGTCATGAGTTCAAGCCCCATGTTGGGTGTAAAGCTTATTTACAAAATAAAATAAATAAAATCATGTTTAAAAAATGTTGATTCAGAAAAAAAGAAGAGAGAATATAATCTTTCTAATTCTGGCAGTGTTGTGAACACACAGACTAAATAAGTGGTTCTCAAGTAGGGGTGATTTTGCCACCCCCGGACCCTCCCAGGGGACGTACAGCAATGCCTGAAGACATTTTTGCTGGGGGGAGGGACACTACAGGCATCTAGTGGGTGGAGGCCAGGGATGCTGCTAAACTTCCTACAGTGCCCAAGATAGCACCACTCCCCGCTCCCAACAAAGAATTCTTAGCCCTACATGTTAATAGTACCAGGGCTGAGAAAGCCTGGACTATGTGTGAGGCTTATGTCCAATGTATGCAGTACAATATCTACAAAGACCAAGGTAAGCTCTCTTCTAGTAGTCCTTTGTGTTAGTATTCACCGGCTTCCCAGATGATTGTACTTAGTAAATATTTCTTGAGCCCCTACTAGTGCTAGGTACCGTAGTCAGTGCCACTAATTCTGCCTTTGGTTTGGGGAGAGGGGTGCTTGCGAGTGGCCTAATGAAAAAACTGGTTTGGGAACTTCTTCCCCCTACTACCAAAGTCACATACGGACCTTAGCCATATTATCCAGATACTTCTGTGTGCTCTCTGCGGACCAGGCACAGTGCTGCTAGCATGGAAACCAAGTGGGATGTGGCACAAACAGCACACAGATGATCTTCCTGGTCTCTAAAGTTGGCACCTGGGTGGCTCAGTCAGTTAAGCATTCGACTCTCGGTTTGGGCTCAGGTCATGAGTTGAGGGTTGTGAGACGGAGCCCTGTGTGGAGTCTGCTTGAGAGTCTCTCTCGTCCTCTGCCCCTCTTGCTCATGCTCTCTCTCTCTCAAATAAATAAATAAATCTTTTTAAAAAAATAAAAAAAAATTAAAGTTGGCTTCATATTGTAAACCCTTGTGCACCCTGTCATGATGGACATTTTTAAAGATACCAGGACAGGAAAGAGAGATAAGTTAGACTCATTGTTTTCTTATGTGGAGAACACTTTGTGTTGCAAACAAATGAATGGCTTGAACTCTCAAATTGCTTTGGAATTGATCCATATGCTCCTATCGGTTCCCTACATCTCAGTGCTACTGGGCCATGTGTATCTATGAAGTTGCAAAAATACAGTCTTTCAGTAACCAGATGACAGGCATGCTTGCTTAGCAAATTTCACATTGAATGTATTACAGTGGCCCAGCAATTACTTACAGACAACTAAAGTAACATTTATTTAACTTAGAGTGGAAGCAAAATCATATCTTCTTTAAAGCCAAACTACTTATTGTCATCAAGCTTATTACATCAAATTTCAAGCAGAGAGAGACTAAAATTTATGTTACTTTGCCTTTTATATCCAGTCAAAATTTTTTTTTCACAGTAGCTGTTATTTCAGTAGACTTATAATTCAATGACAAGAAAAAAAACCCAGGAGCCATCTGGTTCCCTCTAGAGTATTTTTGCAAGTATACAGCAAACCATCATAGAATAATCTTCCCTTCAGAGGACAGGTCTGGGAGTGAATCTTTCCCTCCTGAGTTGGAGAGTAGAAGAGAGTCTTCCTCAAAGATAAGGATCAGAGGACACCTCCCTGGAGGGGATTACTACCTATGTCTCCTGTGTTGCTGTGGAATATAAGTTAGTGCTGAGCTACAAATTAATTTTGCAGTACAACTCTCTATCTCCAATCTCCATCTTTGGAAATTGATTAGAAAAATAAGCCAATTACCCTAGGGTCAAATAAGTCGTCTCAAATTTCATTTATTGCTTCTTTATAATATTATAGACCTGTGTCTTCCCACATTCAATGTAAGACTTCTTAGGACTTCTCTAGGTATTGTCCTACCACTCAGGCTAACATAAATATATCCCAGACTCAATTTGTTTCCATTATTCATTCCAAAATACTTCTTTGGGCTTTTAGGGCCTTAGAGAGACCTGCAGCTTCATGTCAAAGAAATCAGATACCTCCATCTTCGGAGTTGAAGGCACCAGTAGTCTGAAAGAGGACTTTTAAAAATATGGGCCCCAATGGGGTGCGTGGGCGGCTCAGTCAGTTAAGCGTCTGCCTTCAGCTCAGGTCATGATCCCAGGGTCCTGGGATTGAGCCCCGCATCAGGCTCCCTGCTGAGCGGGAAGTCTGCTTCTCCCTCTCCCGCTCCCCCTGCTTGTGTTCCCTCTCTTGCTGTCTCTCTCTCTGTCAAATAAATAAATAAAATCTTTAAAAAAAAATGGGCCCCAAAAGCTACCCGGAAGAATACTTTTTAAAGTTAAAATCAAAGTTAATCTGCTACACAACAACTTCCTAAACTGGTCAACAGTTACAATGAATGTTTCTCCTATAATGTGTCTCCTTTGCAGGAGAGGAAACTAAGGCTCAGAGGTGAAGCGATTTACCCAACAACATTGCATTAGTTAGTTATATGGCAGAAGCAGGACTAAATCATGGGTCTTCTGACTGTAAGTCTAGTGTTTGTTCCACAAAACTATGTTCTCTCATCATTATTGGCTCCCAAGAACTGCTCGCAGAAAGATGTCTGCATATCTCTCTTCTTACTCACTCTGTCACAATTTGTTATTCATTTGCATGTGACATGAAGGTGGAAAAGGCGGTACCAAACAGCTTTCTCCTGAGCAGGAGTGTCCTCTAAGATATCAGTGGTGTTCTGGGAATAAACGTTTCCATGACCAAACTAGGTTGGGAAACACTGAGTGGGTTTAGCAAAATTAACATTTGTAAATACATAAATGTTCTCATTATGTGTCCTGTGTTCCCAAGTGGGAAATATAGGATGTGACATTCCTAAACTTATGTACCCAACAGAAGAACCCTCTTTTTGCAGAACTCCAATTACTAGGTTTCAGAACCCCAGAGATCCACAGATCACAAGTTGGGAAGTGCTGGGATGGAGGTATTAATGCTCCCCAAATCCTGGTAAAAGGACAAATTGGGGAGATGTTCAAGGGGTACAAACTTTCAGTTATACAAGATGAATAAATTCTGGAGATCTAGTGTGCAGCAATGTGATTGTAGTTAACAATACTTCCTTGTAATTTGCTAAGAGGGCATATCAAGTATTCTTACCATACATATGCAAAAGAGTGGTAACTCTCTGAGATGATGGGTATGTTAATTAACTTGAACATGGTGATTATTTCACAATGCACGTGTACATCAAATTGTCAAATCATACTCCTTAAATATATATATATATATATATATATATATATATATACACACACACTTCTCAATTTTCACATATACCTCAGTAATTTTTAAAAAGGCACAGAGAGGCCTGGTGCTTGGCATGGTTTGACATCAAGGCTCTATGTCTATTAGGGGCTTAATCTTCTACTTAGTTGGAGCAGTAGGTAATAATAACTTTGAAGCTAAAGATGAGAGGTTAGTTAGGCTTTGGGGGGATTCAGAGAAGCACCGTTGGACCCCCTCTGGGTACAGAAAACAGAAGTGAGGAGATGGAACAAGTCATTTTAGGCTCTGCACAGTGAGGCCTCATGCAACGGGAGTTTCAGTTGTTACTGTTCAGGAGACAGCAATGTTCCAGTGACCCCACAGTACCTCTAGGGTGATGGAGTCATCATCTCCTTCGAAGTGCGCATTGCTGCCCCTTGCTCTATTAACTTGTTGCTAGAAGAGCTCTATTCAAAATTGAATAGCAACCAACCAAACCACACGGATTTTTTTCTTTTCCCCTCTGGGGCACTATGAATATAAAACATTCAAAGGGAGGCAGCAGCACAGAGAAGCCAAGAACAGAAGAAAGCTGGTCTCAAATGAAGCCCCAGGGAAGGATTGTGTCGGCCTTATTTGCCTCTGTATGCCCAGCATGTGAGCACATTGCCAGGATCACAGTAGGCATCCAGTAAATCTGTAACTGAATAAACGAGTGTGAACAGATGAGAGAGATGACAAGTAAGAGAATATCCTTAAATGACACAGAGGGAGAAATGAATACAAGCCTTGGGTAGGGGGGATAAGATTCAGAAACCCTGGTTAACATGCAG